CAGGAAACTAATACAGCACAGATAACATTTTTGTAATTTCAGAAAGTCCTATTGGACAGCACTGAGTATTTGTGGACCTCTTGAAAATCAAGAGGAAAAACCCACAGCAATGGGAAAATGTACAAAAATTATGAATAAGCAGTTATTCAGGGAAATTCAAATGGCTAATAGGAATAGTAAGTGGTGTGCAGCCTCTCCAGTGATCAGAAGAAAGCAGATTAAAATCAAATCCAGTTACTGCTGCACAGCCAACAGATGGGCAAAGGCTACAAAACTGAACTATACACAGTATTTGTGAGAAGCTGCGGAAGTAGAAACCTACCTGCCCTGCTGGCGGGAGTGTTGACTGCTTTGGCCATTAAGGACAAACTGATAATATTGGTGGTTAGGTACACACACCCCTAAGATCGATTGCCCCTCACCTAGAGAAATCCTCACAGGGGTCCCTGAGGAATGTGGATGAGCATTTTCATGGCGACACTGTGATTAGCATTGCAGTTACCCGTGTACCCTCAGGGCTGAGGACAAGTCAGCCTGGTGGACACACACTAGAAATTGCATGCAATGAACAGAAACAATTAAAAATTTGTGTATTCTGCAACATGGATAAATCTCAAAGACACGGTGTTGAGTAAAAATTAAAAACAAGCTCAGCAGCACATCAGAGTGGTTGCCATGAGGGAAGAAGGGAATGGGCATGGGGAGAATCTGTCGCACTGGAATCCAAATTGAGCAGGACAGAGACACCTGGGACAAAGGAAGGAGATAGTCCAGATAAAAGTGGGGGAGCGGAAGGAAAGGCAGATCCCAGACGTGTGAGGCCACGTAATTAACGCAGTGGTTAACAGCAGAGCTGGGAAGTTCTGAACGCTATCCCAGCCCACCCACTCCCCACCTAAGAGCGAGGGAAACCCAGCTTCGTTACATGTGACCAAGGGAACAGCAGAGAGTGGCTCCCACTGACTCTCCATAAGAAAAAAAGAAGCGTGCTGACATCCCTGTAGGTAGAGAAGACAAACCAGAAAGGCATGCCCCCAAAATAAGTAGACATTTTAACTGAATATTTCATCATAAGCTAAACAGAGTTAGGAAAACGATGAAAGTTATGAAAGAACACCCTGCATCAGAAATGGAGGGAACACTTTACTGAGGTCATTAGAAAAAATGAAAGTTTGAAAAGACAGCCAATACAGCATAGAAATGAAATAACAGATCTCTAAAGGAGGGGGGATATCTGGGACCTTGAAAGAAAGAGGCAGTGTGTGTGGCCCTTGGGCTCCTGACTTCAGAAGGTGCAGCCTGACCCCCACCCTGGGATGTGGACGCTTCCTCCCCTCTTGGCCGGCGCTTGCTGGGGTCACGATTCCAGTCCCCAGAGAGATGCGGTTGGAGGAGGCTCTGGGTGTCAGGGACTCAGGACTCTCTAGACTCAGGCTGAAGTGGCCAAACTTCCCATCCCCCGGGCCAGGGTCTCCAGCAGCTCCCTGGCTGTCCCTGTAGGCCAGCTCCAACAGCCCCCAATCCTGAGATCACCAGGGAAACGCCAGCCCCACAGCCCTGCCCCAGTGGAGAAATGTTTCCTCCATTGCACCTCATGCTGCCTGCGCGTTTGTGTGTCCGCTCCCACCCCCTGGCTTAGCGGCCCCTGGGAGTGTGAGGTCCTCAAGAGCCAGCGCTGATGAAACCAGCTTCTCCTAGGAGGCCAGAAGCCTGAATGTCTGGGGGACCGGGGGAGTTAGCAGCTGCCCTGGGGGCCGTGGGGAGGGGCCTGAGCAGGCTGGCCGGCCTGCATCTTACCTCCGGTGTCACTGCTGGGGCCCTAGAGCCTGCCACACGGGGCATTGGGCATGCGTCCACAGAATGAATGTGAATCCCTCCTGCTGGCTGAGTGAGGAACACAAGCTGTGGGTCAGCTTTGGGGAGTGAGCAGGGAGTGTGTTTGGTGGTGGAATTTCAAGGACCGCAGGATTCTGAGCAGGGTCAGGCTAGGGATGCAGCCGTGGGCAGGGGTTGTCTCGGCCTGGATGCACATCAAGTCGTGGCACAGACAGGAACAAGCACAGACCACTTACTCTTCCCCGCCTGGCTGATCTCACATAAGCCTCCACACAAGCCTCTGAGTTAGGTCCTATGACTGTTTCCACTTCACAGACACGGAAACTGAGGCACTGAAAGGCTGCATGGCTCTTAAAAGGCAGGGCCAGGCTGACAGCCCAGGCAACCCTTCAGTGTTTTAGAATCAGAGCAGTTCTTTCTACTCCACGTCAGAAAATCATAAGCTTAAGGAAGTTACCTTCAGGCACCATGAGAAAGACGAAGTCTTGACTGGACCCCCACCTCCAGGGCACAGGGAAGCCGCACGTCTACCCGCCAGCCACGGGTCAGAGAGAGAGCGACCGGAGGTGGGGGGGCCTCCTCCAGGACATGGTGGGGATGGAGGACCGGGGGCTCGTAGGGGAGGAGCCGGGGTGTCCCCACGCCCCCAGAATGGAAGGGCCACCTTGGGAAGTTTTCAGGGGTGGCAATGGTTCAGGAGCACAAGTGCTCCTCGTGGACACCAGCTCCATGCCATCCCCAGGCCAGGGCTCCCCCACTGGACCCTGCTGGGCTGGACAGTGGGCCTCCAAGAAGCCTCTGAAGAGAGCCCTGTGGCTCTAGCTGGCGTGAGCCCCATCAGGGCCACAGACAGGGCCCCAAATCAGGTGCACGGCTGGGGGAAGGGCCCAGGGCAGGCCTTCAAGAACTTCACAGTGGCCGGTTGTGAACCCAGCTGCACACGGGAGCTAGAGGATGGACAGCAGGGCACCAGGGCCTGGGACCAGGGCTGCCAGCCCCACCCTTGTGGAAGACACCTGAACACCTGTCACGGGTGGCCTAGAGCTGCAAGACGAAAAGGTCCCCCAGGGAGCCAGGCTGGAGGAATTGGAACCCCTTCCACTCCCGCCGGCTGTCTAGACACTTCACTGCACCCCGCCCCCTTGGCGGGAGGGGGGATGAGTCACTTCTCAGAGCATGGCCCGCCCCCAGCTGTTTGCCCCTCAGGGTCACAGCTGGCTCCAGGATCTCAAGGACAGCCTAGCCCAGGTGGGGGAGGCCCAGTAGGGAATGCAGGGGGTGACGCAGTGTGCGCCACACACAGGGGCCCCAGGTCCGTCCTCTGGCCCCCACCCCCCAGCTCTAGCACCGCGTGGGGAGGCCCGGGACGGGGAGAGGGCCCTTCTGGAGCCGCCTCACTGCTGCCTGTCACAGCTCAAGCGGGTCATTCCTGAGGCGGGGCTATTTCCAACTGCGGCAGGTGCCGCTCCCCAGCCCCGCCCCACAGAGCAGGCCCCGGAGAAGATGCTTGTCCAAGCTCTGAGGGAGGACAGGCCAGCTGAGAGACACCCTGCCTGTCCCTCTGCCACAAGCCTCAAGGGCAGGGTGCCTGTGCTCCCGGCCTGGGCTAACCCCACGTGACCTGGCAAAGGGTCCAGGGCCAACCACTGGGCTGATGCCTGAGGAGCTGGGAAAAAGGGGTTCAACTCTCCCCCTCCCCCTTCTCTCCCCCCTCCCAAATAAGTACACAAGACAGTGGTTTGGGTCTAAGAATGATGGACATTTAGACACTGGCGCCAGGCTCACACCTGACCAGTGCCGCGCCAGGGGCGGGCAGAGCAAGGGCAGAGAGGTAGGGAGTGGGCGCTGCGGGGGCACCAGCCAGGCTGCTGGTGTAAGGGTCGCTGGTGGCTGCTGGGGGAGGGGGAGTTCGCCACAGTGACTCCAGATGTGCCGGGTCCAGGACAGCCACAGTCAGGGGCTCACGCAGAGCCGGGCGAGCCATGCTTCACCCCTCCCAGCGCCTAGCATCGTCAGGTGGCTGGCACAGGAGGGAACCTCGGCCAAGATGCTCAGGTCTGCCCGGAGAGGGGCAAGGCCAGCCTTCAGTCCACGGCGAGCTGGTAGGTGGGCAGGGGCCAGCACCCAGCCAGATCCGGGGCAGCTGGCCACTGGCTTGGGGATGGGGTGGCGTGGTGCTGTCCGTCATGCCGTGGTTGAGGCTTAGGATCCAGATCACAGTGAAAGGTCCAGCTGGGCAAGTTGGCATCTATCCTTCACCCTCTGGATACGGCACTGCCCTTTCAGACCAGGCCTCGTGTTCCCGGCCACCTGCCCCCAGTCACCATGGAAAGTCCTCACCAGACACACAAAAGGAAGGGGAGGGAGCCCAGCCCTGGTGAACTACCAGCTTCCCCCGAGGTCAGGGGACACTCACCCCCGGAAACAACAGCTGGACGCTGGGCCGCCTGCTGAGCTAAGTCATGGCTCCCAACTTGTCAAATGCCCACATAGGGAAACACCGCAGGATGCTTCTTACCCAAACTGGATGCTCCTGCAAAGCTTGAAGGGAGGGTCCCCAGGGGGGCTCTGGCCAGAAGCACGCACAAGCTGCCAGTATCGGGGCCACAGACCCTCTTGGACAGCACTGGAAGGGTGGCTGGCTCCCGCAGTGGGCCCGAGATACTAAGGCACGAAGCTACCTAAGCCCATTGGGGTGGGGTGGGGAGAGGACAGGCTCCAAGTGGCCCCCTTGAGTCGGAAAAGCACACAGTGACCAAGCCATAACGACAGCCTGGTGTTTTCCAACTCGTCACAGGCTGGAGGCGCAGGGTGACGGCCGCGGGGGTGCCAATGGCTCTTGCGAAGAGGGTCTCTGTGCTCTGACGGTTCCCCCCAAGGGCTCTGGAGAGCGGGGAGAGCCCTGCACGCGGCTGGCATCTCTGCTCAGGCCCAAGGGCCAGTCCCGAGCTGGAGTATGAAAGGCGGCTGCTCAGCTGGAAAGGTCGTGCGGTGATTCCAAGGCCCTGGGAAGGGCCGGCCGGTGCCCCATCTATCTCCAGCAGGCTCTGCGTGGAGATCCTCAGGAGGGAGCGAGAGCAGGGAGGGGAGAGCGGGCCAAGGGCCTGGGGCCTCCCGCACCCTAGTCGGGCAGGCATAGCCCGGGCTGGCGGGCGCCTCGCACTTCAGGGCTGCCGGCGCAGGCCCGGGCGCCCGAAGGCCGGGTGCATGAGGTTCTCTGTGATGTAGGCCACAAGCAGGCAGATGACCACGAGCATGACGCAGATGGAGCCGCCCACCGCCGTCATGGCCACAACGATCTCCCGCATGCCGGCCGGCTCGGCGGCGAACTCCACGCACTCGGCGGACGCGGCGGGCTCCGGGACGGCGGCGGGCTCCGGGACGGCGGCGGGCTCCGGGACGACGGCGGGCTCCGGGGCGACGGCGGGCTCGGCGCGGAGCGGCAGCGACTGCAGGCACAGGCGGTAGCGCACGCCGTCGTGCACGTCGGGCAGCAGGTAGTCGCGGCAGGAGGCGCCGAGCAGCACGCGCTCGCACGGGAAGCGCGTGTAGGCGCCGCGCCACGAGCAGTTGAGCGCGAAGGCACGCACGCGGCGCGCCCCGGCCCGGG